CTCACACGCCTCCTCTCATCCTTGGGACCTATGAGATTTGACGCCCTTTCCGTCATGGCACCAGAAAACCGTTCGGTGAACCCTTAACCAGTATTGACCGGTCGGACTGCCAGATCTCATGTGTTCTTTCATGTGGTCAAGTTCACACCACGTGTTTTGACTATTTGGTAATACCATAATACCATATCCATCCATTTCCGAGGTCCTGACCACTATGTGTTTGCTTCAGCCATCGATGCTTGTCGTGCCGGGCAATGGATGCAGGCGTGCGTTTTGCGTGGTAGTGGCGTGCGGCGAGGTGGAAGACATTCCTGCGGGTTTGTCGGGTGGAACACAACTTGAGGCGTCACAACTGGCTAAACATATTTGACTTAGACATTTAGGTTCAGATGAAACACGTTCAAATCCTTACAGTTGTTCAACGGCTATCAACATACTGCTTTCCTGTTGTTTGGCCATCCTCAGGGTGTGGGGCCCTACAATTCAGATTCTAAACAAGTCCTTGATTCATGTTGATTCGTGTCCTTGCTGTTGGTGCAAGTTTCTCAACAACAAGCAACCACACTATGTACCATTGAGCATGAGAGAGATATAGATCTATATTAGTCCATATTGTTACTATCCATACTCTCCGAGCTCCCGGCCGTCCGACAGCGACACCCATGAAAGATCCACTTGTTTCAACACAAACATCTCACATGTGCCACGCGTGCTGTAGCACCAGTCCACGTGCCAGGCACGTCTCCGCCCATGTGCCACACGCGCCCATGTGCCGCGCCAAAAAAGATCACCCAGCCCCCGAATGTGAGGCGTTGGGGTTGTTGCAGTCGATGGAGTCACACAAGATGAGCTCCTTGGTTCCTTGGACGTGCGGAAGGGGAGCAAACAACATGCTAATTACTTGGGAAGGATTGCAGGTGCAGCTGGAGGTCGACCAGGTTGTCAGCTCTCTGGGGGAAGATAATTTGACCTGTTAGGGAGATCTCATTTCAATCGCATGTCTGGAGCTTCAACTTCGCAGTGTCAAGAGAATTCCTGTGCACTTACAGACATATTTCCACAACTAAATCTCTGAAGCGCATTGAGCTGTTTGTTCAATGAACTTTGCCATGGGTTCCCTCGGTTTGAATATAGTTGGAGAGTTTATGCATGTTTGTTCACTTGCGAGAAGAAATCGTGACGGTGAACTTTCCAACCCAGACTGCATACCACTTTGGTTGGATAGGTCGGGAATGTCTCAAAACAGTAAAGCACGTTACGAATCGTTACGATATTTTTCCTTTTTGAACACATACATTGGGTCTGTCCTATTGTTTGTAACAGCCAGTATAAACAACTACGACTATATCACTACTGTTTTTTGAACGAGGCCTTGACTACTGTTACAGGTAATAGGATAGACCCAGTATTTCTTGTACATCCAATATCGGCCTGTCTGTTGCTTGAGCAAAGGTCGCTCACTCTTCAGCCATGGCTGCGTGCGAGAAGGCACGGTGCACGGTGACGCGACAACGGTCGTCCAACCGCCGTGTGGTCTGCGTTGATGACCCAAACCCTGGCAGCGTTCTGACTGATAGTCACCGCCAACAATCGAGAAGGCAGGTCCCTTGTTTGCCCTGCTCATTATAGATCCTTTCACATGCCAAGATGTGCAACAATGATGACATTGTTTCTACCATGTATATGATCGTGTGAGTGTATCTAAGCATGCTAGGTGGCTTTGATATGGGTCATCAGCATCACTTACCTCCGAAAAAAAAAAAAAAAAATAATAATAATAATAATAATAACCAAAAAAACATAAAAAGCACATTTGTGACTCCCAGAAACTAACATGTTTTGGTGCGAACAAAAGGACAACTCTTTCCTAGAGGTGCAGTCAAACCGCCTCATTTTCAGCCAGGGAATCCAATGGATAGATATTCCAGGATGCAGCCCTGCATCCACTGCCAGCCTGCATCCACTGCGAGGCTGGCAAGTGGCTTATGGCCTTGGAGCTCCTCGCTGACTTGACCCGGAAGAAACTGCAGCTGGAGCGGCGGCACATGCGCGGTTTCGCGCGTGGGAGTGTGTAGGAAGGGGGCAGAATGGGAGTTTGAGAAGGGATGTGGGAATGTCTCAAAGTAGTAGTGGTGTCCGTTATAAAAACATTGTAAGAACTGAATGAGTAGGTATAATATAGGGTTTGGTCGTGCCATTCGCAAGCGGCCCAAGAAGAGTGCGTGTAGAAAAAGTTTGCTAGAACCCTTACTGACACCTCGCCCTGACATGCCCTGACCTTTCTTCCTTTGGTGCTGTGTATCATTTTGGAGATGCGAATCCCATGTCCAAGACCATGTCCATAGTGGATTTGTTGCACCAAAAGATGTACGCGAGGACCGGATCAGTTTCGGCTCCTGTATGAGCAGCTTGGACAGAATCCGCGGAGGAGAAACGCACGTGGATGTAACACATGTGCCTCACATGGGGTGAAGTGCCGATCTTTGGCGGTAGACGATCTTCCACGTTGATAGGTTTGTTTCATGTCACTTCTTTATCACACCTGTGGGTTTTTCACCCCCCAAGACAAAGGGACAAGGGTAGACCTCGCCTAGGGAGCTGACTGGACGTGAAGTAAGGACCTCTTGTGACTGGACGAAACGTGGTGACTACGCCGTCCGGTGACTCCACCCCGGTCTGCCATTGAAAGACATGTGGACGGACCCGACAGAGCGTGGGCTCCGTCGGACCGGTGAACATGGGCACGTGACGTTAAGAACATTATTTTTACCTACCTGTATAGTATATATATATATCTATGAATACCAATTTGCTGTATATACTTGTACAAAGGAGATGGTCCGAATAAAGGTGTCGAAGTCGCCCGAACGTGCAGTGACCTGATTGTTAATTACCTGAAGAAAAGTGGACTAAGGAGATTTGATAAGAACGTTTGGCAGTTGAAGTCGAGAGCAGCCACTAACGATCCACAAGTGCATATGAGGTGCTTGCGAGAAGAGCAGCGAATGGCAAGTTGCTCTATCCCTTCTAAAGGTGGGGTTGATGAAATGCAGGAACGTCATTCAACTCAACAGAGATGCAAACTTGGAGAAAGAAGTTGGCTGTTCACGATGAGTGTATTTTAAGTGTAACTATATACATATAGAGAGGAAGAACTTGAAGCTGCTGACACTGCTAACATCCACCCAGAGCATACCCCTGGGCAGGGACTGCGTTGCAAGACATGACGCCTGCAGATAAATGCATGCATGTCAGACAATTTGTAGTGTGGTCAGCTATTGACACCAAGACATGGGCACCTTGTTCATTTGTCCGAACCAGGATCTCCAGTTGCGAAGACTACAGGCTCGGATTCACAAAGAATGCTTGACCAATCTTCAGGTTGGTGAAACGTCTCCAAAATAGATACCCTCAATGTATTTGTTCCATGTCGCAAACGTTGTAAAGAGTTGGTGCCACCTGCCAGAACCAATTCCAAGAACCAAGAACCCCCAATTTGAAGTGGATTTGTTGGAATGGTTGTCACCTCGGTCGGTGACCTTGTTGACCTGACCCAGAAAGAAGACCAACGAGCCCAGAGCGTTTGTTTCACCTCGGGTTAGAAGTGTCATGGAGAAGCCTGGACCAGATGGAATCACTGGACCAGTGTCTATGTTTAAGTAACTTATAAGATAGAATGCTGGACAGCTGAGTCATGTTTGAGCTAGCTTTTACAAAAGTGATAAAAAGTGGGAGTTGTTGCAGCTGTGGTGGAAGTAGTCGTCAATAATCGATTGGTATGTCCCAGTTAGACACTATTGAATTGCCTACTTACCCTTCCGCACTGGTTTCTGGAGGCCATTTACTTTCCAGAAGCCATGTTCAGTGTTTATGTTACCCTCCCTCCAACAAATAGTGGACTGGACTTTCCCGAGCAAAGACGAGTTCGTAGTTGGTCTTCCAAGCATCAACTCCAATTGTTGGATAGGGATTCTCTTTAAAAGAGTAACAAGAAGCTACTAGGAGCAAGGGCATTGGTACGATCGGGGCTCCTGGCATCGCTACGAACGGAGCATTCTTGCTACGTTCGTAACAAGAAGCTGCTAGTATTTCCCATATTTTGCTTCGCTGCTAGTGGAGTCGAAGAGTTGCGGAAGGCCAATGTGGTCAACTACAGTGCTGTGATGAGCGCCATGGAAAAAGCCCATCGGTGGGGCTCGTCAGCGGGTGGAGATCGGGAAACCCCTTGTCAGAACGATTCCGAAGGATACTGTAGAAATCTGTAGAATCTGGATTATATTGCAACTGCCCATATGAAGAGGTCGTCTAATCCAAATGGTAATCAACAGCCTACATTGCGGTACTTGGTCAACAAGACTGTGCCGAGAAGTGCCATCAGTTGGGTTTTGAGCATTTTTACTGGCCAGAGCCACAGCCAACTCACGCCGTACTCAATTGAAGGGAAAACGCACGCTTTCAGGAACTCGGGGCAGGGTTGCATGAATACTGTTTGGACATGTTGCTTTCTGCATGCATCCACGTTTGCCAGGTTTTGAACACCGTTTTCCAGACTGATCATCCAGAGAGCGATCCTTTGTCAATTGTTGATGCCTTAATTTCACGCTGATTTTCTGTGGAGCCCTGAGCCGTGATTTCGACTTTGCTTCTGGGGCTGAAAGACGGAGGGTCAAAGCATCCTTCGCCAGGCGCCGAATGGGTTCAACCATGAGTTCCCTATTGACCCAGTGAGTTCATTTATGTACTTCGTTCATGCTTTGCATGGCATACTGTTGAAGATAGGCAAGCAGGAATGTCCAGTCAGCGCTCATTGTATCTCTCATTCACCCTGTAGAATGCAGCTTGAACTGTATAGCCACTCTAAAGTGATATGAGACATCGAACAAGCGTGATGATGGTATGATTCTGCTGCTTCATGCTGCCTTTGTTCCTGGCATGTGCATGCAAAGTCTCATATGAAGACTTACAGCTGACTGAAGACTCCGCAGGGGCTCAGCAGTCCCATGTCCTTTGTGTCTGAGCGCATCTTTGCCGAGCGCCGCTTGGAAGCCACGGTGCAAAGGGCCGAGTTGGCTTTGGCCAAGGCAACCCCCACCTTCGCACGGCCCGCGGTGCCCGCGGTGCCGACGGTGCCGACGGTGCCGGTGACCGCCGAACCGGTGGTGCCGGGTTCACCTGCGCCCAGCCGGAGAACGGAGCAGCTGGAAGGTGCCATGCGGAACGTGCCAAGTGGAAAGGCGAGAGATCGGGACTTGGTGTTTCCAAAGCTCGATTGGCCTCCCAGGCAGGTGAAAAGGATTCCTACACAGACCTTGTGGTCAAAGGTTCCCAAGCTTCCCAATGGTCCCCAGGGCTCTGGCAGCCCGGAGTTCGAGCAGCGTGTCGATGCTCTCCGTTGGCGCTTGACACAGACGTTGCTTCCTCCCATGCCGACACGCGAGACCACGCATGGCGCATCTGACCTGTCTCCAGTTGAGACCTGGCCAACGGCAGACGATGGGGATGAGAGGGAGGATGAGAGGCTTCAAGAAATCCAACGACTCACGCAGGCACAGGCACATGCAGAGGAGGCGGTGGCCAGGATGCATGTGGAGCTTTCGGAATTCACAGAGGCACGAGCGCGGACTGAAGAGGGTGTTGCAAAGATCCGTTCAGAGTATTCCGAGCTGACAGAGGAACAAGCACAGACTGATGGGGATGTTACAGAGATGAACTGTGAGATTTCCCAGCTTTCACAGGCCCGCGTGCAGGCTGAAGAACGTGTTGCAAAGATCCATTTGGAGTATATCGAGCTGACAAAGGCATGCGCACGCTCTGAAGAGGATGCTGCAGAGATGCGTTTGGAACATTCAGAGGAACTGCAGACTTTGGAGTCTACCTTGCAGGCCTGCAAAGACTTTTCGGAAGATGTTGCTAGTCAGAAGGAAGAGTTGAAGGAGCGCCTCAGACTTACAGAGACCCTCGGATTTGAATGAATCTTCTTTTGCTAGGACCGTGCATGTAGCGGCATGTAGTGACCAACCTTGAGATGTCAAGGTCACGATTTCGTCCCACCAAAGAGGTCACAAAACTGAAATTCCAAACGAGGTCACCGGTTAAAGCTTCTGGTTCATTTATTATCTCAAACGCTCCATGGGACTTGGAAAAAACACACACACCAACTGAGCAGATAGAAAGACCCCCGACCCGACCGAGCAGACCCATGTTTAGCTCGGATCAATTCCGAGGATCATGACCCAGGAGGCCATAGAGGCGCAAGTGGAGGCCTTCCGCGAGATGGACTTTGATTTGGCAGGCATGGAGCTGAAGCTGCAGAACGAGCAGAATGAGCTTGAAGTGGTGGCCAGGGAGGGTGTTCTGCTCGAGGAGCCGGGTGATTTTGGGACGAAGGGTCGGATGATGTCGGATGGCTTGTGCTGCAAGATATTGCTTTTCTTTGAGTTTGTTTGACAAAAATTGCCATCCAATGTAGGATAATCTAGGTATAATATGGAATAATTCTTTCAAGAAGCCCCACGTGCATTCCTCTAAGAACCTTGCACCCCCGGGAGAGAAAGCCACACCGGCGGAGGAGCATTGGTCCACAAAAGCGGAAGAGCTCAGGCTGGTCATTTCAATTGTGTTTGGTCGAAGCCTTTCGAGTCCGACAAGAATTACTTCTCATGCCAGGTTTCCCACCAAAACAAGTATCCCAGGTGTACTGTGTTTTGCAGTATAAGGTGGGTAACGCTACTTCGCATCCCAGATTCTCCCAGACTGGGAATGTTCAAGCGTTGGCATCTCCCAGAGGGGTCTCCTGATGCGACGCAACGCGAGTCTAGAAAACAGAATGTGTGAGGTTTGAGTCTTCCAATGGAACAGGTGTTTGACATGTGCTTAACCATCAACCAATTCTAGCAAGACAGAATCATTGTATATTGTTCTATCAAAGAATAGACAGTTAGACAAATGCTGGTATTTGTGCACAGCATGTTCCTCTCCCTGTGAGTCGGCCAGCAGCTTGAGACATTGGACCATTGAGTTGCGACTGGTGTTTTCCTGCAAAGCCTGAAAAGAGTAGGCACACAAACAACACAAACGACAAGTCCAGCTTGGCTTTGGAAAGATCAGACCCTTGTGAGATCTTTTGAGCCTTACTCTTTGTTTATTGAAACGGCAGGCAAGGTGTCAAGTAATATATATAATGATAAACAAATAATGATGTGCTCATATCATGTTTTCTTCTTATAAGGACAATTGAATCGTTAAGGCAACACATAAGTCCATGCTGACTCGCATGGCTGGTGCCTTTTCAACCTGTTTCTTATTGTTTTTAACAGACCGCAGGCAGAGATATTGGGAGGCGGGGTGCTTTCAACTAACCTCAGGCAGAGTCGAGAACATGCCGTCCATGCTGTTTTGCCCAGGCACGAGCTAAGTGAGGAGTTGAAGCTTGCAGAACTGCTACCTTCCATTGAACTTCAATCTGCAGAGAGTCAGGCGAAGGTGGGGACTTCGTCAGGCGAAGGTGCTTCAGAATGAACGATCCAATCCAAACTAAGCATTTGGGACGGGATTCCTACTTAAGGTCAAAGTGATCTGATCCGGAACTAGGCACCTCGCACTCGCACCAGCCGGTGGAAAGTATATAAAGTGTTGCAAAGTTCAAAGGCGGACATGTTTTCTGTGTTCTTCATGTGTTTGTTTTATATGTCATCGCCACAGATTCTTCTTAAGGTAGTTGCTGGAAAAAAACAGTACGACGTCTAGAAGTTCTTGCATAAAAGGATTTAGGGATGGGGATGCGCCCTTTTCTGCAAGGGTTAACGGTCTGTCAATACATCTGGAGAATCTTCTGTGATCCCCAGTGCTCCTGCGCTCAGGCGGAGCTGTGTGCTGGGCGTCTTGCCGAGCAACGTGCGGAGCTGTGTGCCGACCACGAGCGCGACCGTGACCAGCGGGACCAGCTGGACCAGCTGCAGCTGCAGCTGCGGGAAGAATGTGCTGTGGCGGGGAGAAGGGAGGAACAAAACCGCTACCTGCATGAGATTTGCCAGCAGCTGACAGAAATGGAGGTGAGATTCGTGGAGAAAGGTTTGGTGGTTTGATTTCAGAGCGAGAGCGAGAGAGAGAGAGAGAGAGGGAAAGACACAACCAAAAACCTCTGTAGGTTTCTGCAGGAGTGTATATTTGGCCGCTTTTTGGAGATTTCAGTGCTCCTGTATCAGGCTGTTTAGGTTTGTTTACGCTTGACTGTTGGTTATGCTTTTGGATGGCTACCCTCACAAATGGCCTCTGAATCTGCAGGAGCAAGCTCATGAAGAAGCTTCAATTCAGCAAATGGAGGAAGCTAAGATCCAAAGGCCAGGGTCACAATCATATTTGTGGGTATTGAAATAGGGCGACCGCCAAAGACTCTCTGGAGCAAGAAAGATATACTATACTATCTCAGTAGATCCATTTGTTAGCAGCCAGGGCGGTTCTCAGGCACTTAATGGCGTTTCTTGTCTTCTTTGAACATGAAGGTCGTGTGGAAGCTTACTGATTGGCTGATTCTTAAATGCTTGGTACATGAGCCTGAGGTTCAATCCAGGTTTCGATGCAGTGTGGCTGATTTGCCTTTAAATATCTTAAACCTAAGATAAGCCACAACTTGCACAGGCATGCATCAAACAGCAAAGGCAAAGAAAACCCATGGGTTTGGCGTCTCCCTATTCTGATCCTATGATCACATGTATTTGTATTTGTATATTTTGCTGTATCATAATCTGACTTGCATTTATGATAGTTCAAAAGTACCTATAGTTATTTTCCCTGCTCCCTGCCCCCTGCCCTGCCACGCCAAGCCCCAGCAGCAGCAGCAGCCGCCGCCGCTGCTGCTGACACCATCCAGGCAGGGACCTGGGAGCAGGCAGGTTGGAGGATCTGAACCATGACCAGGTTGGTGTGGTCTCCTCACCGGAAGATGGTTCCAATTAAACGGAGGGTGTGTGGAGAAAGGGGGTCAGCAAAAATCACTTATATCAACTTAGTGCATCAAAAAGACCTTCCATGAAGTTCTGTGAAGGTGTCTGGAATTGCATTGCAGTCAGTTCTCCTACTGGCCCATAATTCCATGAACTGTCCATGGAACAGTCTTGGGTTCTATGAAGGTCACACGCCTTCCATGAATAGGTTTTTGCAAAACCCTTTCTGTGCACTACCCTTCCGTTTGCCCACCCTGCCCTCAACTAACCTTCTTTTTCACCAATCCATAGCCAGTGCAATCTGCTTGATGATCTTTGCCACCACCGGCACCGGCCATGCGTTGCCAGCAGCCCCCATCACTTTGGATGGGGACACTCCCATCGCCACCGCCAGATCTGCAATATCACCAGGAATACCCTGAAGTCGTAGGCATTCCTGGTGATGAGCGTTAAGGGCCAATCCAACTTATCTAAAGATATACTTGGGGATGTAACACCCATACACCCATCAAAACACATTGTATTTGGGAACACAAGGGTTGGATTTGGTGACCACACAATAATATAATAGGGTCAGACCAAAATAGAAAAACAACAGCCTTGCACAAACTACCAAGATCAGGAATCCAAGAATCCTTGGGTAGCAAGCGTCGCTTCAGCTTTGTTAGCCAAAATCCTCCACCGGCAGCCCTGGTCTTCGTGAGGGTGGGAGTGATCTGGTGCTTCGGAACATTCTGGAACTTTTTGGAAGCGCCAACATCAATCAACCAGATCTCCTTCTTGGGATCACCTCCCAGCTCTCGCACCCGCTTCAAGCCCTTCTTCAACATCTTTTTGCAATGTGGGCTCAAAGGTCCTGGGGAAGAGAGTTCTAGCCATGATCATGACTTCCAAGGATGACACCCTCAAAAAAAGGAAATGATCTTTGGATATCTCTTGAATTAAAGTTATTACATATTCCACTGCAGATTGACGTGGAACCCCAAACCACTGGTTGATGGAGGAAAACGATCTTGAGGGTCCAGCTTTGTTTTTGATATTGTATGACAAATGGTTTGATCTGGTGCACCCAAGATTCGTCCACCTCCTTTGACCGGAAGCAAGACAGACTGAAAAGATCTCTGCTTGCTCGAGGGAGTAGGCCACCTGAATCTTCTCTTAATCTTCTTCCTCCGGAGCGCCACCACAAACAAACGCTTGCGGCTCTGAGGAAGCCCATGCCAACATGCATTCAGGATCTTGAAGTCGATCTCATAGAACTGGGAACCATTGGTGTCTTTCACACCTTTCAGCCTGGGATGATAGCATTCATGGTGGCACCCATTCCAGCTCCATTTTGTCAAGAGGCCCTGGGAACCCTGTTTTGATCAATAAGAAAAATAATTCCCAGGGCCACTTGCAAGGAATGAAGGAACAACTTCCTAAGTGAAAATCAACAATTATTGCCATTGCCAGTTCGTTGATGATTGCAAACAGGATGTAAGCTGGGGTTATGAACATCAAATTGTGTTCAAGTGCAACCATTAAGGACCCAGAAACTTGTTCATCCACCTGATGAAAAGCAATTTCCTCAGCTTCTTGTTCCGGACCACCCCAGGCACTTGCTCCAAAAGTACCGCAGTTGGCTTCTTCATCTGGATGTAATCGAAGCATGCTCCATAGCATTTTGCCCGGGGATCTTCCTCAACTGGGGATGGATCCAACTAGTACTTTGGGTGTATCCGTTCCCTGTAACCATGGATGCCAATCCCAATAATAAGGTTGAGCCTGTTACAGGTATTTTTAATGGGACAGGGTGACACCCAACCAATTCTCTAAATGAATCAAACCATGTGATCCAATGAATGAGGTTCTCCAAAAACCAAAAAAAGGACAATCCAGTCCAGGTGCCAGCCCTTTCCTCTTTCCAGCTGAGCTCACCGGTTGGCAGGGCAACCCAGCGCCGTAAAGATCCACCTTGGGCATCCTGGAAATGTCACGCTTCAAGGCATCCTCAGCAGGGCTAATGGGAGTGCAATGGCAGGGCTGAACTTCAATGTTTGACTTGACCAATTCTCTGATTATTGACCGTGTTCTTTCCGGATGGCATGTCCCATACCACCAAATATGTAATGGTTTAATTATTCAGGTCGAGATGTTGATTCCAAGTGGGGCAGGTCTCAAATCAACACTCCTGCATTGCATCCCAGAATCACCAAAAGCAATCTTTGGACTGTGGATGCAGGTTGTCATCTCACGGAGCTGTTGATCCAACTCACTAATGAACTCCAGCTCATAGTCCAGGCCAGCCTTCCTGAATGAGTGTCCCTGTCATTTTCATCACCCCCCAAGAGTTCAACCAAAGTTCAGGGTTCAGGAAACACAAACATATTAATCACCCTTCATTCAAATCAAACAGAACTCTGGTTGGTAGCCGAGGATCGAGGTTGCCCAACTCAGGCATTCTAAACCCGAAAAATCCGACCCTAGTTTGATCGGCATGAGTGATCACAAACCTTTGTGTGATCCACATGCTTGATCCCACAGCTTGCAACATGGTTTGTTCCAACCATCAATGAAAGCTTCAAACACAGTTTGTTCCAACGGTCAATGAACAGATTGATGGTTCAACAGTTGGACATACAGATTCAATTCAAGTCAAAAAATAGCTTTCATGAATACTTAGACTTAGACAGCCAGCATGCAGTCTGCAATTGCTGTCATCGGTTTTCCATTTCAAACCTCCGGTGAAAATGGATGATATCACCCATCACTGCGTCACTGAACCATAGGTATTATGGCTTCCATACCCCATTGAGTGACCCTGGGGAACGAGAGGAAAGCAACAATGTCAAACATCATATTTGTTGATAAGTTCATTCATTGTCATAAACTTTTGTTCCCCTCCAACACTCCTAATCCGGAAGCCGAGCTCAAAATGCTCCTGATGCCGCCTGCTTCAGGCCTTGCTCCTCCCGGAAGAAGCGGCACCTTTGGCCATCTGGCGAAGCTTCTTGGCAACATTGTCCTGGGAAGGATAAGCTGAGCTGGTGACAGTGGTTTGGTATGAGAAGCCATTAGTGCTGAAGTAATGTGGAGGGATTTGAAACCCACAGACCTCTGAATGGGACACCTCACTAATCAAATCAATAATCCGGCCAAATTACACAAACAATTTAACTGTTTGAGTGGAAATTGAAGCTAGGGACAGTCCTTCTCAGTCTCTGCCACATCCCCCTTCTTCCTCTTTCGGTTGGTCTTTCCCTTCCCTGCTGGCGCCTTCTGCTCCTCAACTTCTTCTTCTTCTTCATCATTTTCCTCCTCTTCATCAATCTGGCTCTCCGGATGCTCTTCGATCTGGCTCTCCGGATGCTCTTTCCTCTTTTTACTTTCTTTGGCCTTTGCTTTGGCTGCCGCCTTCTCCTGAGCCTTTTGCTCCTTCTCCTGAGCCTTTTGCTCCTTCTCCTTAGCCTTTGCTTCTTTCGGCTCAGCTTTGGCCTTTGCCTTGGCTTCCTTTTCCTGAGCCTTGGCTTCCTTTTCCTGAGCCTTGGCTTCCTTTTCCTGCGCCTTGGCTTCCTTTTCCTGAGCCTTGGCCTTTGCCTTGGCTGCAGCCTTTCCACGAGGTTTGCGAGGTTTCTTCCCACCCTCCATTGCATCGGCTTCTTCCTTCAACTTTGTGATTTCATGGTTCTCCATGTCTGAAGGGGGACTTGTCTCCTCACCCTCAGTGTTGATCCATTCTGGAGTCTTGTCTCCACAGCCCTCATCCTCAAGCTCTTCCTCCTCTGCTTTTGGCAGACCTGATTCTGCTGGGCTTTCCAGGTCCTCCCCTTCCTCCTCCTCATCCTCCTCCTCCTCATGTTTTTCTTCTTCCTTTGGCGCACGGTTCCCTTTCTCTTTCTTTGTCTTTGGATCCTTTGGCTTCTCATCCTTGTTGTCCTTACAAGGATTAATGATCAGCTGAAACTTCCAAACCTGATGCATTTCATCCAAACATGCACTTAATGGAATAGGTTGGTAATTGATGATACCGTTTTGTGCTCATTGACATGAAACACTCATGGCATTAAGGAGTCTTGTCCGCCAGTGGTAATCTACCTGCAAATGCTGGAAAGTAAGTCTCATTGATTCAAGTGGCACTGGAACAGCTTCCCTTTTTGGAATCCCGGATCACCTTCATGAGCTCATTGGTGAACAGAGGGGATTTGGGGTTCTGCATCGCCTGAAATGTGAGCTTCTCCACTCTCTCCGTCAAGAGCTTGGCCTTACATGATCAAAATCAAATCTTCCTGGGTCCCAGGTTCTAATCAACTGGCACATAACTAACAAATAGCATGTGTTGTCCAGTAGCTTCAATTTGATGCAGCTGTGGGACATGGTGCTCTGAGAACACCAGGCCGACATATGGGATGTTCTTCTCCACCGCCAGGAATGCAGCTGAGCCGTCACCTAAAACAGTGGCTCTAGTTTCAATGACTGAGGGTTGGCCAAGAGTGTCTTAGCAAAATTGAAATCAGGAACCATACATTTAACTATGGTTTGTCAGGGGTTCCTGACAGTGGCACTGAGGAGAAGTAAACTTATGTACTTCACATTGAAATAATAGATTCAACCCGGTGGGAGCTCATGCCTGGTGTTAGATCATTGATGCCACCCACGGAGTAGCAGTGCACAATTTCC